GCTTTATTCCCTTCCACCTTCTTGTCACAGACAGGTTTTATGATGAACTAATATACCAAAAAAATAAAAAATTAACAATACTCCCCTACGACCGATCCTTGATTACCGATCTAACAGCTGACATGATGGCATGTCTCAAGGACCTGTAAAAGCGTCGCTGTCCATTGTGGTTAAGGTGGATTCCATCTTTCCGGAATATGGGAGTCTGTGAGTAAAACAGCCTTCTGTGCTTCCAGAATCTTGCTTTATCATGCATATCCAAAGAGTTTGCAGGATTGATACTGAATGCAAGCGTTTGTGTTCAAATAAATCTGACGTAACTTTTTGTTGGTCGAGCACGGGTGAATATTTCGCACACTACAACTTTCTCTACAGCATACTCCTGAATAATTAGAGCTGTAATTTCTTCAATTCTATTGGCAATGTCCAGAGAAGATTTTACTGAATCGACGTCGTTACCTCCTAATTGAAGAAGTACGATGTTTGGCTCAACTTGTCTCAGAAAATCCCCAAATTTTGAGCTGAAATACGTAACTGCATCACCATCACATACTCTAAAGCCACCTATACCAAAGTGGACCACGGAACACTCTTCCAAATCGTAGTTTGCGGGATATGAATTTTGTTTAAAGTCTTCATGCAGCCGACGAATAAAACTGTGACCTAAAACAGCCACACGTATTCCAGTTTGAATACGACCCAATGCCATATTCCCGTTTTGACTCGGTGACAGTCGGCGATATAAACAGATAAAGAAAACAAAGTTTTTAAACAATCGGTGGTAATCACACCAAAGAAACAAATATATCCAACCTGGTACTTTCCAGATTAAGTTTTGTGTCCTATGATATCCACAAATGTCCGTAAAATTAGCTATATAAAATCACTAAATATCAAATCACTTTCTCTAAAAATTTTTGCTTCCTCTTTCTACGCTTCTTAGTAATTGCTAACTGGTTCAAGACGATTTTATGTAGGGCTATTATCCGTTCAGCCGTCTCTACGAACGGCTAAAACCCGTACCTCCCGTGGCGGCGCATAAAGTTCGCTGATGCTATTCGGCATAGCTTATATTTAATTACAATAAGTAATGAATCTGATACAAAAATTGACAGCAAATAAAATAAATATAACTTTTTTATCCAAATTGATGGATTGCCAGTTTTGAAAACATTAATTAACTCTTTTCTGTGTAAATTGTATTTAATATGACAATTATTCTGAGTACTACATTATGTATTTTGTAAATAATTTTTCTCATTTACTGTTGTATGTTTTTGTTTATTTCATTTTATTTTTGCATGCCATTTACAAATGTTTTTAATGTTTTGTTAAAAATTACATGCATAGTATTGATAAATATAGGATTTCACTGAAGTTATCATTTGCTGGTAATATGAAATTTGATTAATTAAATTAAAAGAAACTGATGGATGTATTAAAACTAATTTTTGACATTCATTGGTTAAGATTGGTTACCTGGGACAAATAGCCCCTCTCTTATGTGAATTAACCTTTTCATAAGGAAAAATATTGCCTTTGGTTTCAGATTTTTTTGTAGGCATTTTACCACTGAAAGTTCAAGTTCCTTAAAGTGACATTATGCCCATTTAGGGGTATATAGTGAGTAAACGGGTGAAAGTCAAAATAAGTTTTCATTTTGCCATAATTCCTTTTCATTTAATTAATAATTTCGCATAAACAATAAATAACACTTGTAAGTTGATGAACTATGAAATAGCTGTTATTCTTTCAACTAATAGATGAATGAATCCTAATAAGTTGCATGTAAAATGGCAAAATCTAAAAGTTTTATTTAATTGTTAAATTGTACTGACATTTAAGAAGGCAAATTCAGAAGATATACTTGTAATGTAAGAATAACAACAATATCAAATGATACTAAATCATATAATCTAAAATTATGTATAGTTGTTGAACATGTGTTGATTTATTGAAGAAGTAAGATTGTTTGTTGTATAAAAATTAGTAATAGGTGATTTCTATGAATACTTCTTTTTATAGAGTTTGTGTATAATACTGTAAGATCAGAAATTATCACAAGGGCAAAACATTTTAAACAATAAGTGAGGTTCAAAATTTCAGCTTTCATTTCTGTTAAATTTATAGAAATGTTAAATTCATAGTGACCATTTTTTCTCTCATTTTTTTTTTATTTCCAAATGAATGAAATTTTCTGATTTAACAGTATATGCATCAAGAACTAAAAAATTATATGAAAATAAAACTGTAGAAATTATAATTTATGTTAACTTCAATTTATTGTAATAATTTGCCAAAATGTCAGGGCAATTCAAAAGTAACTTAGTTCCGTAAACAAATTACCATTATTTCAGTACACATGTGTAAACAGCATACAGTGCTGACATCATCAATATTTGTTATATATATACATGTATATACATATGATCTGGTACTTGTAGCCGGAGGAAGAAACGAAGGAGGAGGTGAAAGCACCGGAAGAAGTTTATGAGGAGGAAGATCTTCCACGTATACAGGATGAGGTGAACCAACTACAGGCTGAGTTTGATCAGGCAGTTGTGGAGAAACATTCCCTCGAAATGGAACTAATATCCATGAATGAAAGGCTGAAGGCAGCTACAGAAATGGTTGACAGGTATGTTTATTGTAATTGTTATCTGACTGTGTAAAAGTTAAAACTTGTTGAAATTCAAGAAAATATTTATGCAGATTTCTAGAAAATATGTATCTATATGTACATATTTACAAGAAAATCTGTTCAAGTAATTGTATTTAAAATGTACATTTCAAGAAAATCTATACATGGATTTATGTACATTTTATGAAAAATCTGTATTTTTATACAGTTTAATAATATATATAATTCTATAAATGTATAAAAGTGTACATATCATAAAAATATGTACATTGATTTATGTACATTTCACATGAAAATTGTGTATTTCTGTACAATTCATATAAAATTCTGTGTATGTATATATGTATATTTCATGAAAATCTGTACATATTAATGTATGTATTTTAATTGTGTTGTATAGTTTGAAAGGACAGGAAGAAGAATGGAAACAACATGTGAAGGACAATGATTCTAATGAACTATTGCTGGCCAACTGTATATCTGCATCTGCCTTCCTTACCTACTGTGGTCCACATAACATGGATACCAGGTACCGTAAATGTTCTAATATATTCTAACTCTTAACATTGTTAAATTTGTATAATAGACTTGTGCTGCTTTTAATTTGAAAGTGTCCATTGTTATTTTATCCCATATATGTGGTACCTTTAGTAGCTTATGACAAGGTGCAGTTGTTAGATAAGGGGCATAATTTTGAAAGCAATATTCTTGGAGTAATGTCCCTTTTTAACTTAGAACTTTTAACAGACGAGCATTACGTCCCATGCTTTGCTCTTGTTTTATATTGATTTAGATTAATTGAACTTTAATGAACTGTTCCAAATAAAAAACTAGGCAAATCTGTTACATTAAGGTAAAAAAGATTTCAATTACAGATCAACATGAGTGAAACATGAGCCAATACTAAAATGTTTCAATAGTTTGGTCTGACTGCATTGATGTACTTGCTTGTCTTACTTTATATATAGCCATAGGAAAGTCATTGTTGTAAACTTGTTATGACACTTGAACACAAATATTCACCTAATCATCCATGAATTATTAGATTCGCAAACCATTGAAATTGTAAGTCTTGTGATAATTTGTAAATTTTTTTATAAAAATACACAGCTAGTAGTAAAATTAAATATTCATAAAAAAAGATTGTTAAATGTAAGGGAAATTTTATTGTTATATTTCTCTATTACTATAGGAAGCGTATGGGAGAGTTTTTCATGCAGGTGTGTGAACATCATGGCATGCCGTTACCAAAAAGAAGTTTGTTCAGAAACATTCAGATTGTTGACTTCCTTTATACACAGGTAAGTTCTAAGCATTCACAGAGCTTTCCTCTTTCCATAAGCCACAGTGGGCTTTAGGACTTCTGCAGAAAAAACTGCTGGCTACTTTTGCAAATCATAATAAATAAAAACTGCTCTAAAATAACATCCTTATATTTTGTATAATTTTTGCACATTTTGTATAAGCCAAGTAATTTGTGTAAAAGAAGCAATTTGTATGAAAAAAAGAAGAAATAATTTGCAAACAAAAAATATTTTTAGCTGTACTAACTGGATTGTTCATTGTTGTAAAAACAAATTTCAACAATGCTAAAAACAAGAACAATTCAAAGAGATGATTAAAAATAAGTGCATGAAAGAACCTTTAGGATGATGTTGACAAACTGATTATTACAAACCAATAAATAATAGTTATAATAGTAAGTAATATTTGAATTAAACCGGCTGAATGGGGAATGAAGTTGGGCTTAAAATTATTTCAGTTGGATATCATGCAACTTGAGATACTCCGCCTACCGACCACGCCCCTCATGTTGGAGAATGCATGTTTCCTGATGCAAGGAGAGAGTATAACAGCATGGCCTCTTGTCTGTGACCCAACATCTCGTATTATAGAATGGTTGAGGTACAGAATGAAGGAAAAGGGACTTGTTGAAGTTAGATATACTGTAAGTATAACTTGGATGAAATATTCCAAATTTGTATATTGACTTGTCCCACTTTGACTTTTGACTTGTTCCACTTTGACTTTGGGCTAGTCCATTGTAAATGTTAGGGTTTTTACCAAGTTACTTAAAGTAAGTATCCAGAAGTAAAGTGTTTGGATTTGCATACACTGCATGCTGGTATAGCTCTAATACTGCTGACATTAGCAAAGTCATTATCATCAGTAGCTTTCATTGGGTTTAAACACTTGTTAATGGAAATGAAGTATGTTCAACTTTACAGTTTTACAAATTGTTCTACCTGCTGAAACTGAAAGAACTTTAGCCTTTGCCATCAATATAGACCCAGGCCAGCATGCATACGAGTGCAGTCAGATCTGCCCAAGGTCTATACTGTTTTTATCTTTATTATCCCCAAAATTAATAATGGACAGGCCCTTATGAGAAATTCAGCAAGGAAAAAATTAGATGGAGACAGATTTTTTACCGCATTTTGTTTGTTTTCTCCCAATTCCATCATTACAAGATAAGTGATGAGATTTTTTTCAAATTTTAAAGCGTACACTTCTTATTTTCATTACAGGAAATACGTTCTCAACTAGAAAATTGTTTAGCAGACGGCAGTCCATTATTGGTAACAGACTGTGATATACAGAAATTGGCGAAGGATGCAAGATTCCGATATGCCATACAGAGATGCTCAGATTTCATCAACGGCAAAAACAGATTTAAAATCATTGTAAGTGTAATTTAGTTAAATCTAGAATGTTATTATAGATTTAATGATAATGTTTTTCATATTTTACTGGTAATAGACCTCAGTGCAGGAACAATGTTTAGGTAAGGTTCATTGATACCTTTCAGATTATTTTTAAGTTTTACCTTGTGTTTTTCTTAGGTTTGTGATAGTATGAAGTTAGATTATTTGAAAGGACTGGTGAACATGTAGTTAAAGTGTCTGCCTCTCAACCCAGGATTGTGGGTTTGAACCATATTGGGAGTATGATCGTGATCCCTCATATGACACCGGTACTGGTTAGTTCCAGGAAACAGATTTGAGAGTGGTTCAGATAATCTACATGCTTTATTAACATTTGAGCTGAAAAAATAATGTTTAAAACTAAATTTGATTATTTCACCATGAAGGTGGAAGACCATGAGGTGGAGTGTGACCCAAGATTCCGCCTGTATCTACATACAACAGTGGAGCCACACATGGTACCCCAGCAGCTGGCAGCATACGCTTCTGTCATGTACTTCCAGTTATACAGGAAGGACGTGGAGGAAGAATTACTCAACAGGTTCATGGCTCATGAGAAATCTCGACTAGAAGATGAGCAGACAGCTCTTAGACAGGTTTGTTATAATTACAGTTTTGTAGTCAGTAGTGATTATTAGTGTCTGTTTTTCAGGGATTAACTATATTTTTACAGCAGATACATTGAAACACTGTATGTTGTAAGAGATATATTGGAACACTATATTTTTCGAGCAGATACATTGAAATACTGTAAGAGATACACTGAAATACTGTGTTTGTAAGAGATATATTAAATTACTGTATGTTTGTAGGAGAGACAGGAGAATATGGAGTTCCTGGACAAACTAGAGAAACAGATGAGAACTAACCTCTCTAGTGATGTTAGACTTATGAATGACCTCCAGGCAACCAAAAAACTGGCAGAACTCAAGAAACAGTATGATGAGACTGTGGAGACGTAAGTGTCTATTTACCTCTGTATAGTTACTGTAAGAAATGGTATTATTGATTAATATTTATTCTTGAGTGTACTTCTAATAAAGTTTTTTCAGGGCTTTTAGCTTAGCTAGAAACAGTGGTGGTGTTGGTAGTTTTCACTCTGGATGATCACAGTAAACCACATTGAATTTACCAGAGCACAGTTCAGCCACCACATTGTTCTTGGGAAAGCTGTCAAGCAGTTTACCAGAACTAGTTGCCTTCACTTTTGCAAGGAACTGAAACTTATGTACATACCAGAGCAGAGGTACAGTGCGAATGACTGTAGAAAAGATTTCATGATCAATCTCAAAGAAAGTGACCTGCACTGTTCGGGAGTTTAACCTGGGTCGCCCAATTCACGGTCCAACACTCTACATATTAAGCTAATGGACAGTCTTAGCTAGAATCTGTTGTGATTTTGTATTTTTATACCAGGTGTTTATCTGTAATGTCCATATAAACCTGTAGAGGGATTCAAACTTTTAAATTGGAAAGATTTTGTTTTGTTTTTTGGTACATATTGATATAATTCCGAAAATTATGTATTCAAACTATGATAGGGATCGTATGTAAAAGTAAATATATGTTATAAAGTATAGCTGTATATTGTATTACAGACAAACCCGAGTTGAGATGAGTGAGGCTTCTATATTGAAGGCGAGAGATGGTTTCCGATCAATTGCTCAGAGGGCGGCTGTTTGTTTCGATGTAACTCAGTACATGCGTGAAGTGAATCCACTTTATCAGATCTCGTACAATAGATTCCTTGATATATACGATGCTGCCATTAGCCATTCTGAAAGGTAAATTTTTATATTCGTAATGAAAATTTTTTTGTACTTCTTCTGCATTTTAAAGGTGTTAAGAGAATGTACAATAGATATTCTAAGAACTGTACAATATTTATGTTGCTTTCATATACTGTTGTTCATATAACTACTGGGGTCCTACATATTACCAGACAAAATATGTAGCTTTTTATCTGTAACTTTTATTTAGAATAATAAAAAAGAATGAAATTTTACCCAAATAATTTTGGGTTCTTACAGCACGTTAACATTCCTTTATCAAAAATAAAATTAAACATTTTACCTTAAAAATGTGTCTTTAAAGTAGGGCATTAAAAGGGGAAAAAAATCGTGTAAACAACTCAATTTACCGGACATTGTGTTTCAATTTTTTTGAAGTCATAAATTGAAATTAATCTTTAAATAACCAGCAAGGAAACTACCACTATTGAATGGCAATGTTAAGATATTTGAAAAACCCAGTTTGTTACTAGAAATAGACACGGCAGCCATGCCTGTTATGAAGAGGCCAATATATAGGGTGTAACTGAAATTAACACTATTAACTCAATAAACGTATTGATCCTTCATGATCCTTAAACATATGAAACATTTTAATATTCAAATGGAATTCTTCTGTTCTTTGCCATACAGTTTCCTTTTGGTCATCATGTAGCATGTTACAAAAGCCATAAAATAAATTTCATTTACATTTCATGATGTAGAGTTTCCTCCCATAGGCGTAAACCGTTTCCTTAAATGTTTTTTAATTTACACTTCTTTGTAAAGACAACAATGAGATACTGTTTAGACTAAATTTAAAATTACTTTTATCATTTAAATATGTTACAATTGTCTCTTGATGTAACATTAAAAAGAATTAAAAGTAAAACCTATCTAAAAAAAACCCATTAAGTGTCTCCATATTTGGGCCTGCGCAGAACAGATTATTCCCCCGCATGACCAGGTCATGAAATAACTAGTAAACAAAAGGGCATGTTAGTAGATAAAGAACTGAACCAACAATATTTACCTGAGAGTGGTTTTGTTGTTATTTACTTTGAAATAGAAAGTGTGTGTACAATTCAGAATGTATGATTTTTAATTGAAGCAAAAAATAAAGCACTATTCAGCAGTAACAGCTTTTGTCCGGTAAACTGATTGTCCGGTAAATATGTAGGACCCCAGTAGAGGTAGTTTTTTTTTATGTGAGTGTCTTTAATGCACATGAATTATATATGTATAGTTTACCTGGTCTTGACATATTGTTTATGACCTAACTTTGTGATATTAAAGTTTTGTATGAAAAATTTATGTAAAAGATGTGTAATTGTAATTAATTTTATCTTAGGTCAGCAATTAAAGCTGTTCTAGAGAAAGTGACCAGTAATGCATACTACTACACTGCTAGAGGTGTCTTTGAGAGAGATAGGTTCATCTATGCCCTTCTTCTTGCTATTGAGGTAAGCATTACATACTTTACAAACTTTTCCTTTATTTTGAACTGAGTATTTTTAAATTTATACTATCTTTTATTTTAAAAAGTTTTAAAAAGGGGTTTTATAGCAAAAGTATAAAAAACTTAATGGTTATATTACCCAAACTTCTAGACAATGGTTATATTTCTTTATTTACATTTATAACATGGAAAAGATTAGTTTCTCTTTAACTTTATTTTAATCCTAATCACACTAAATATCTGATGGAACTTGACCATTTTTGCATCTGGATAAAACCCTTAATAATAATTTTCAAATAATTTATGTACTGAATAGTAGTGATGGAAATCGGATGAAATTTGTGCCAATCGATCATCGGTTCAATCGGATGGGACATAATCGATAACTTTTCGACTTAAGTCACGTCAAAAAGAGATAGCCCTGGAAGTAACATTTCACCCTAAGGCACTTGATTATATTCAGTAACATGAACTTCATTTAGCACTTTAACCTTATATAGTCATAATTTTACGAAATAGATTTTATTTTTCAATCGATGTCAAATAATAACATTCACATCACATTATATTACTTTTTTTACATCACTTATTGATCCTGTTCAACTCCAAATTGTCTCTGAGATGATATTTTTGCGATCGGCGAGTTGTTCCTTAAAGAAAATTACCATCAGAATTAATTCCCTTTGATACGTTAAACATTTTCGACGGCGAGCGGAACAAATTTTTGTGAATCGATTATTGTCCCTTCACATAACAGTAACTGATTATCGGCGACTTGCGACAATCGGAACATCACTACTGAATAGCACAAAGTGTACACCATGTTCTGATGGCCGACCTCTGATTTTTGGTCTTCACTAGTCACATGGGTAGAATCTGTTGGCATCAGCAGGCTAAAGATTAATGAATGAGAAATTATTTTGTCTTAAATTAAACATTTTGCTATGTTTCAGGTTGAAGATTCTCTTGATCGTCTTGGTCCTGGTGAAAGAGAGTTTCTTATCTCCCCTGACTACAGTTCAGTAGTGATGCTCTCCCTTGGTCATATTCAACAATCCCAGGAGAACAAGATTACCCAGACCAAGAAGCCATTTGATTGGATGACTGATGACCAGTTCCATAACCTTCAAGTGCTAGCTACACATTTCGAATGGTTTCAGGTAGATTATTTCTGTTGTTATTTTCTACAGAAATAAACATCTTAATAATGAAATAGAAGCTAGATAGATAACCCAAAATAAAAAATTAACTTGCTTTGTGGGACATGAGTTTGCAGTGGTGATGGGCAAGTGAATCAACGTCAGACAGGTTGACTGCTTAGCCCTGGTAGACCTAAGTAAGAAAATAACAAGTGACATGAATGGGATGAAGTTTATTGCTCATTAGTCTTTGATGGCAAGCATCAATTATGACTTGCCTGTTTTACTTGTACAGAGCCCGGGCAACCTTGTTTAATTACAATATTTTAATATTGAAATCCTTTACATATTCAATAAGCTGTTCCAAATTAAAAGTGGGACAAATTCAGCAAGATTAAGATTTTAATTGTATGATAATTTTTAAGATAATTAGAGATTGTTACAGATAATTATAATGATAATTGATAATTTTTTAGGAAATGTTTGATCGCATGCCGAAAGATGGTCGTGAGACACAGTGGCGTAACTTGTGCGAGACTGACAGTCCTGATACCACACCTCTACCGGACAAGATGGACGAGGTGTATAAACCCATGCAACGTTTGTGTGTAGTACGTGCCGTCAGAAGTGATAAAATCATGCAGGCTTCCACTGTGTTTATAAACGTTGTGCTTGGCAAAAAGTAAGTTAACATACTTTTTATAGATATTTGGTTTTTTGAAATGAACTTTGACTAAGAGCTTGTCTGAAATATAATAAATTCCTGACCACAGAGACCAATACATTGCCCCATGATCCAGCTTCTTATTTAAGTTGTAACAGCAGTCACATTGTGGTGACCAACATTTGTGTAGAGCTCAAGGACAACCAGGTTAAATCATCATGTGTAAAAAAGATAATGATTAATATATTATATCTATTCTTAACAAGTAAAAGTAAAAACTATTTTTTTTACACCAGGCACTTGTATTTTACTTAATTTTTATATTTATATACATATTGTGACTTTGAGTCTGTTTTTCCTTGAGCAGTATTCATTTGTTTATCAGATTTGTTGCCATATCTATTTTATACTTCAGTGATGTATGCAAATTATTGTATACATGTACTATGAAGATATTTTACATATTAAATTGTGATATCCATCAGTGTTGAGAGAATTAAAGTAGATATTTAAACATGCACCCCTATACTGTAGTTTAAACATGATATAGTTGTATCATTTTGCACATCCTGCTTCCATTAGTGAGGAATTAAGTTAATTTAAACAAAGGGATATCTATAGACTAATATTTATATAGTTAGTTTGGGAATCCTGTGTCAAAGTTTGTTTCTATCATATGCGGGTGATTTAGCTAAGATTATGGTTTGTTTATTAAGTTTTGCAGCCTAATTTTTGTTTGATAAAGATAGATGTATGTGACATTAAGTTTCATTATAATTTAGTTTAATTTTTCTGGCATAGCATAAGGGATTATTAAAACTATTCTTGAAATTTGCTCTTTATTTTCTAACAGTTTCAAAGCTATTTCTAAAGAAAAATGAGTCGCGCCATGACAAAATCAACATAATGCGTTTGCGACCAGCATGGATCCAGATGAGCCTGTGCATCCGCCCAGTCTGATCAGCATCCATGCTGTTGGCTTACATACCCTATTACAAGTAGAGAAACTGATAGCGAACAGCATGGATCCTGATTAGACTGCACAGATGCGCAGACTGGTCTGGATCCATGCTGGTAGCTAAAGGCACTATGTTGGTTTTGTCATGGCGCAGTTCAAATATTGATTATGGATCAGAAATAGGAATCAGACTTATGAATGGTAAAAAAAAAACTACATGTTTTCATTAAAAACAAAACACAAAAAACTGAGCTATTCTAAATCAGATTTAAACTAATTGGGAAAAGAAAACAATTGGCTTTAAATATAGGATTTAAAATGAAAGTGTATAGTCAGAAAGGTTTAGATTGTATATGATTTAATTGACTGATAATTGATTTGTTAATTCTGCATTATAGTAGTTTACCAGCACCAGCTGGTAGAAAGGGGTAAGTTACAGAATGTGCAGGCGACTATTGCACCATGTAATCATGTAGTGGGTGGGGTAAAACATTTGCTGTCTACTGCTGACTAATTGTAGAATTGTTGTTGCTGCAACTAAACTTGGTTAAGGTAGTTTGTGTGTTTGATATGCAGTCTTGTCAAGTTCTCGTAAATGTTTCAGTATCTATTTGATATCTGTAAACACTCCTAAATTTGTATTATATTCTAGCCCTGCTATCAAGTTTGGGAATGACCTTTTGCTATTTTAAAGAGTTTAATTTTTTTTTTTTTAAAAAGAGCTAAAACTAATGAGGCAAAAATATATGGTTCGGCCAAACTGCAAGGATGTAATGATGGGATAGACTTTATACTGATCCTGAGAGTATCCAAAAACGTTTTAATGTTTACCAAAGAATTTTTTTTAAAAATCAAAGTTTTTTTTTAATTCTGGACATATTTGAACAGCATTTTTTGGCAATTGAGAATATTTTTTTTTAAAATAGAATCTAAATAAGGATCAAGTTTAGGATCAAAATCAATATTTGCATCAACTGTAAAATGCCCATTATACATTGTACCAGTAGTGTGAAACAATGTTCTAGCTGTAGATCTGCTCGGTTCAATGTTCAGAATAATTTGTTTGCTATTGGTGTATAACTTATTCTGATGAAAAGTTGCAAATCTTCATATGAAATATAAAGTAGTTTTAACTTACCCACTCTTTAATCATGTCATGTAGTGAAAACATTTAACTTTAATAGTCACTCAGAAGCACTGCATATACATGCCATTTAATATAAAATATATCAAGCTGGGGCTAGGGGCCGGGGCCGGACTGTTGGATATGATTCAAAATATTTATGTAACACACATCAACAACGATAGATACTGTAAAATGAGATATTTTCTTGTTTAAATTTTTTTTCAGAAAATCAATATTTCGGACTGGTACATAAGCCTACAATTAAAAAAAAAAAATGTTGATAAAATCCAATATGGCAGCCATGACAACATGTGATAATTAAATGTAGTAATGGCACCCATCATTACATTTACTTTTTACAAAAACCCACTTCATTTTTATGCTCCTCGAAAAATTTCGGGGGAGCATATAGTCGCCGCCTTGTCCGTCCGTCCGTCTTTCCGTCCGTCCGTCCCCTTTTCTTGTCCGGGACATAACTTTGAAACAACAAGAGGTATCAACATGAAACTTTGTAGGTAGATAGATCTCGTTGAGTAGGTGTGCAGTGCACAAGAACCGTAACTCTGCCTTGCCTAATTTTTGAATTATCCCCATTTGTTTATTTTACACTTTGAACTTTGTCCAGGACATAACTCTAAAACTATAATAGGTATCAACATGAAAACTTTGTAGGTAGATAGATCTCATTAAGAAGGTGTGCAGTGAACAAGAACCGTAACTCTGCCCTGCCTAATTTTTGAATTATCCCCCTTTGTTATATTTTTACACTTTGAACTTTGTCTGGACATAACTCTAAATGTATAAGAGGTATCAACATGAAACTTTGTAGGTAGATAGATCTCATTGAGTAGGTGTGCAGTGCACAAGAACCGTAACTCTGCCTTGCCTAATTTTTGAATTATTCCCCTTTGTTTATTTTTACACTTTAAACTTTGTCCGGGACATAACTCTAAAAGTATAAGAGGTATCAACATGAAACTTTGTAGGTAGATAGATCTCATTGCCTAATTTTGGAGTTTTTGCCCTTTGTTCATTTTTTTTAATACTTTCCTGTGTCCAGAACCTTCTCAGGGAGCATCACCCGGTTCAACCTGTTCTTGTTACTTGTATTTTTAATTTTGTTGTTTGTGGGTTGATTGTTTATGTTTTGCATAAGATTATTTTTATGGTGAAATATTATTTGACAGCATTAATTCACTTGAAATTAGCAATATTTATCTCCTCATGAAAATTTCTGATTTTACAGTATTAAAAGAAAAAATTTGTTTGATAATAATTCTTATGAAGAAATAACTACATTTGCAGTAAAAGATTGAAATATGCAATGAGAAATGGGTTAAAAACAATACATATAGCCAATAGAAATCAGTAACATTTCATACAAGAAATAATAAATTTTTGCATGGAAATTTTCTTTTTACAAAACCAACTTTATATTATTTTTAATTTTATTGTTTATTTGGGAGAATTTTTATATGTTTTTGTATTAGATTATTTTTATGGTGAAATGTTACTTTTCTCAAGATATATAATCCTTCACAGAAGTAGCACGCGATGTATGCATAGTTTTCTATTTCCTATATAGACTTTTAAGTCTTTATTGCCATTTTATAATACTGCACGTTTTGTAACAACCATTTTCATTGGACGATTGTGAGGCTTATATTTTCCATATACATGGCTGCTTCAAAATTTATGATTTAAATTTTATTTAAAACGTGCAGTTTTATAAATTTATGAATTGTATATTTTATAGTCTTTCAAAACTTCTTGATATACAGCAAGTCTAAAGAAATGGCATAATTTACTATTACATCAGCTAGTATAAATGCTTGTTTATATATGTACTTTGCAAGTTTGGAAACAAATGTGGCTATGGTGAAATGGGCTCTATAGTTATACATTGTCCCTGAATTCTCAAAACTCCATATAACATTGCACTTATATATAAATAAAATAGAATGAAAATAAAAATGAATTAGGCCAATAAGAGAAATGTTATAGCGAATGTTCAAGGCTAGATTTAGGGTTTAATTATCAGGTAAGTCATAATAAATTAATAAAACCTTATTTCAAATAGCACTAACATATTTTGGATGTAAATTTTAATTACATCCTTTGGCCCAGTAGTGAAATTTTATAAAAAAACCCACAAAAAGTATGTTATGTTTTGTATTGTTTACTATTGTATTGCACATGTGTTTGTATATATCTGTTTGTACATGTATGTAAATTTTGTTGTTACAAATTTCCCAGTATGTCGGAGATACTGCCTCATTGGTAAGATACTCTGATACTTTGTACAGTGTGCAGATTGAGTTGTTTTTAAAATAGAATTGATCTATAATTTTTGTAAATGCTTCAATTCACTTGTTGATATGTGTGCTGTGATTTTATTTATAGCATTACTTTATAGATGGACTGATAATCAATAAATTATTTGAATTTATAGCACTGCATCTTTGTAACCTTAATTTTCATTGGACAATAGCAAAGTTTATATAAAAAATATAATATTGGACAATAGGGATGTTTATATCAAATATAAACATGGCTTCAGCAAATTTATGGATACTTTTCTTTTTTAATCAATGAATATAATTCTGCAGTGTTATAAATTTGTTATATAATAAAGAATTTGGTTATATGGCATTGTATAAATGGTTGCTTGCAATATAAACCTTGCTTAGCAGTTTAAGTAATATATATGCTTACAACTGACTATACTTAGCCATATAACAGTATACATTAATATTTAATAATATTTTTAAATGTGACACAAACCATTTATTGTTGTGAGTGTACCATATATTTTTTTACTTTATATATTTATTTCCCAATGCACTTTTTTTTAGAATTTTATGTTGTTCAAATCTATATATTCTGGTATGCAAGTGCATTACAACAGGTTTTTTTTATTATAACTGTTTTATTATATAGACCATCTTAAAAAAATTATGGTTAACACATACACAATTGCATTATTTCAAAATCTCAATAAAATAATTGCTTTTGGGTATTTTGTGGCCTTCAAGAACTGTCGATCAGTAAATAATGGGAATTTTATTTCAATTAGTCTTCAGGAAGGTAGGGATGGGGTCAGCACTTTGCTTTTGTAAGTTTATTATTAATTATTATGAATAATCCTAGAAATCTGTTGAAGGTAGAGGATTGTATTATATAGGTGCATTAAAGGGCTCATTTTTTTAAAAAAAAAAATCAATGTTTTTAAATGCTTAGTCTTTTGTTTGCAAAGTAGAAATTTTTCACTAGTCTGGGTTTGTTGTGATTAGGTTTAATACAAAAAACGAACTGTTTTTCTTGCTTCCATTTTAAAATTATTTTTTGTGCATGTTGTTTGCATGTTTAGATTGAATAATTTTTACTTTCTGTCTTTCTTTATTTTTTCTGAAAGCATATTTTTTCCTCACCCCTTTTAACTGGCAAGTTGAAAAGTATATATATTGTATAGTATATTGTAAATATCAATTCTGTCTGTACACACTACACAGCATATTGTGGCCCCATAGAGTATTTGTTTGTTAAGTCTACTAGTTTTGCTTCATGTAGCTTACTTGTATATTTAGCCCTAAGTGAGTCTAAATCCTAAAGAAGGTTATTAAGTCATCTCAATAAAATTTTACATTTTCCTCATACCTCACCCCAAAAGTATGATTTCAACCTCATAAAGTCATGACATAAAGTCCCCCCAACAGTCATATAAATCATTCATAAAGTATTTAAAAAATCCTCATCAGTCATCATCTGTAATGTACCAACTTTTTTAAAAATCACTATTTACAGTTTCTCAAATGGAATTTTTTGTCACTCATCAGTACTCCATCTTCAAGTAAAAAATTTTAAAACGTTTTTACAATACTCTTTAGTCTTTTCGAAAACGCCCAAAATTTAAAAAATTAAAAATTTTTTGGGTAATTTAAAGGTTCAAGCCTCCCTGTTTTTGGTAAATAAAGTTTTTTTAGTTTTACCCTTGGGCCCATTAGATAGAAAATAATTGTATTGGGAAATTTGTAAAAATTTTTTTGCCCTAAAATTTGAAAATATTAAAATTTTTGGTTTTTGTCTTTTATATTTTTTAAAAAGAAAATTTTGGTGAAAGGGGAGGGGTCCTGTTTGATTGCTGAAATATCCTTTTGGCCGATATTTTTTGTATATTGCCTCAGAAATGTATATTATGATGTATGTGTATATATGTAATAACAAAAAATATTATTAAATTGAATTCAAAATAATATTATAATGAATTAATTGTGAAAGATTAGCAATGAAATTTATGTGGTGGTAATAAAACACTTTGTTTCGGTATTATGGAGAACGTGGGGATAGAATTTCCCAGTTCTTGGGGTAAAACAGAGCTCACCAATGGTAACCATTAATTGCTCCTATAACACAAGAGAGGCGGAAGTGGCCTTGGGGAAAATGTTTAATTGATTTTCGTAACAAGAAACAAATAAAACCTCTACAAGTATCAAGTTACTGAAAATAATCCGAACACTGATACGAACTGCTAGAAAATATACAGAAAGGAATGGCAAGGTAGGCAATTTTCCCTCTATGAATAAACATTATGTAAAATTACTATATACCGCAGGTTTTCAATAAGTTTGATTTTTGTGAAGATATTTTCTTTGAATATAAAATCAAGGAAAGTCATAATTTGATATTTAGCATTCAAAGCTATTCAGATTTCTAATAATCAAGTAAAGTTTGTTCTTTCCTATTCCAACAGCATTCAATACAGAAATTCTTTATCCTGTTTTGTTTGAGTTATCAATATTATATAAATGTTTTACATGCAGAATTTTGACTTTATTCCAATATTTACTACAGGGAATGTGGGTGTTATTACACAATGCTCAAAATGCCCCTCAACTGCTGCTCTCATTGGAGAGTATTCTAGAAGAACTTTCTGCGACGACCCCTCCTGACCCTCAGTTCCGAGTTTGGATCTCAAGTCAAGCCATACCTGAGGTACTTCCTGTCAGGCTCATACAAAACTCAGTCAGGACCATCTTAGATTCACCAAAGGTTTGTGTTTTAATG